GACAAGGTGAATGACAACGGAGCGAGGATGCTTGAATTCTTGGGAAGAAACGAACTGATGGTGTTGAACGGTAGGAGGGAAATGCGATAAGCCGGAGTTCACCAGGCAACGGGCAGTTTGCAATGATACACGATCCTCGACTACCTCCTGGTAGATAGGGGGAGCACAGCACACAGATCCCAGAGTTACACGTAAATGCGATAGATATATGGATTCGACCGACCACTTCCTCATATGGGCCAACATCGACCGATCTAGAAAGATGGAGGGTAAGAAACAGACGAAAGTGTTCCGGTGGAAAGTAGAGCGTTTGGGAGACGAGGGGACACGGGATGAATTCCAGAAGGGACTGGCTGGTAGTGTAGTACCCTTCAAGAAACTGCTGATAAGCGTCGAAGACGGACAGGTAGACGTACAAGCAGCAGGGGACAGNAAGGGTGGGAGCATAGTGAACGCAACGGCAGAGAGAGAGTAGTGGGAAAGAAGGTGGTACGATGTGGGGTATCGGTTAAGTGGTGGGATGACGAGCTGAAAGAAGAAATAGGGGAACGTAGAGAAGTCTTCAAGCAGTACCTGAGTGAGGCGTCTGAGGAGAGTTGGGAAACGCACAGGGCCAAAAGAACACAGGTCAAGGGACTTGTGAGAAAGAAGAAAAAGTTCATTTGGGACGAACTAGTGCAGAAGGCCAACGGAGGCCTGGAGGGGAACGTCAAGCAGATGTGGGAAGGGATAAGTGGAATGGTAAAAACGACCGCGCAAGGGGGGGATACAGGGGCAGCAACTTTGCGAGGTGTGAACGGTGGATTAGTCAGCAGTGGGAAGGGAAAAAGGGAAGTTCTAGCAGGACACTACAAGAGACTTGGAGTGCCCTCGGAGAATGAAGCTTTTGACCAAGCGTTTAAGAAGGAGGTGGACACATGGGCCCAAAAAGAAGAAGAGACATCGAAGGCAGACGTTGGGAACGTAGAACTAGAAAAGGAGTTCACTGAGGACGAGGTTGAGGCGTGTGTGAACAAGCTGAAGTGCCACAAAGCAGCAGGAGCGATTGGGATAGTCAACGAGTTCATGAAGTTTTGGGCGAAGGGGATGATCCAGTTGATGATCCTGCTGTACAATTGGGTGTGGAAAAACGAGTATACGCCAAGTAGATGGAGGGAAGGAGTGGTTGTGAAC